TTGATATTATTAACCAAAACCTGTGCAGCTATCTGGACATATATCTGTCAGAATTCGATCAACGAAGCGTGCAGGAAAATTAGAGATTCTTTTGTTTAAAAGTCAACGAACTGAATGATGCGCATGTACCCGTCAGGTGCATTCAATCTGATGCTAAAGCACCTTGGTATACTAACACCCTAAGACGTCTTTCCAATAAAAAAACAGCGACTTTTTCGTTTAGCTAAATTACGTAACACGATTGATCGGTGGCAAGCATAATTTGCGGCTAAGGTTGGATATTCCCAAGCTGTATCTGACGTCAAAAAAAAAAATTTAAGAACACTTTACCGAGTCTATTGTTAAATGACCCCAAAACACTTCTGGAAGACTGTTAATATGAATGACGACGGCTTAATTTGTCTTAGCCATGAGTCTGGGGCGTTAATTCCTCCGGCAGAATATCCATCAGTGTTTGTCTTTTTGCCTTTTATAATTTTTTGTCTTATTTCTGTCTTTTAAATATTTTGTTGATTTAAATATAGTACAAGCTGTGACGCTGATGATAAGCAGATAGGTCCGATAAAACATGTAATAGACATCATATCACCCTGTCTGACATTCATTTTTAATCTCTGCTTGCCGCTCGGGGTGTTTCCAAAAATTAAGCAGCCAACTAAGGTCAGCGTATTGTATAAAAAGGGTGACAAGAACGACATGACAAACTACAGACCTATATCTATATTACCGGTGTTTTCGAAAGGCTTAAAAAAATATTGCTTTCACGTATGGTGAAGTCTTCAGATAAGCATAGTATAACCGATCCTTCGCCGTTTGGTTTCCGTAAAGGCCGGTCTACCCAGCTTGCTTTTCTGGAGCAAGAAGAATATATTTTGGGCGACATTGAGCAGAAAAAAATTACCCTTGGAATATTTATTGATTTTAGTAAAGCGTTCCCTACTGAAAAAAACCATTTGGCGCCCATATGAAAATAAACGGGTCCATACCGGTAACCGTTTAACCATACTGGTCGCCAGTTTGTCAAAGGGGTCGCTCGTATGGCTCAAAGGGGTCCCCCGTATGAGCCATAACGGTCACCTATTTGGCAAACGGGTCGCTCGTCTGGGCAAATGGGCGACTCGTTTGGGCAAAGTTGTCGCACGTTTGCTCAAACCGGCGACCATGTTGCAAACTGCACCAGTTTAATCAAACGGCTCTCCGGAGCCCGTTTGATATTGAACGTACAGATCGGCGGCGTGGGCACGCCTAGCGTTTCAGCCGTGGCAGCCAATGTTTTCCGGAAGGCTGGGAGCGCCGGTTCATCGGTTTCAGATCGTCCGCGTAATGCAAGTAATTATATTTATATTTCAATTGCGCTGATTTTCGATTATACTGCAACTAAAACTAACACCTTTTTTTTTTTTTTTTACGTAAACGCGCGACGTTGGTGAGCCGATATTTTTGACAGACCTTTAATACTTTGTCCATCTTTGTTGCCTCAATTTACTTATTCAGCTCGAATCTCTCTCGCAGAAGACGCGATCGACCGCGTGAAAGAATGTACGTCTAGACTCCGTTTCACTTTAATTCAAGACGCAGCGAAGGTAGCACGCGTACACGCGGCTGCAAGAACATCGAGCATTGCGAGAGCACGCCCGCCGTTGCAGCACTCAAACTACGAGCTTGCGCTGGGTTCTTTCTTCGCTCGGGCGCAAGCCGAGCTACTGGCGGCCCCGCCGCCATTTCCAAAGTTCGAGCGCGCGCGCGCGCGCGCGTTTGTTCTTCGGGACTACAAAAACGCATCTCCCTGGAATGCCTGGAGAGAGGGAGAGGGGCTGTCCCGGTGGTCCCAGCGCCTTGACCTCGCCCCCTCCCTCCTCTCTTGTCACCCCTGTCACGTGACCCACAGCAGCGCGCGAGCTACACGCTGATAAGCATCGAGATCCGGAAGGGCGCGCCTTGCAGCCGCTTTTTTCTTTGTCTGCTTGCTGTCAGTTGCTGCTCGAAGTTCGCTCGTCCTACCTGCTTCAATCTGTCGCCTAACCCTGCGGTCTTATTGGGATGTCTCTCGACAACGTATTGGATGTGCATCAAAGCTATCAGTGTTCGAAAAGACCCACGTGTATGTCGGCAACCAGCGATTCTTCAAAGAAGTCGCGAATTCTCGCGGTTTGGTTGGGTTCGGCAAATGACAGCTTGTGCGCCGCATCGTGTTGAAACTTCCAAGGAGCCGTTCCCTCTCGTTTGTGTTTGTGTGGTTGTCCTGCTTTGACCGTGTCGACAAATATCACGGATTACCTCTTTCAAGTCCGCTATTGTTATGGTAAGTGCACTGCAACCTACGTGTTGGCAACGATTGACCGTTCTTCTACGCGTACTCTTCTAAATTATCTAAAAAATTATGCAGCGCCTATTCGCGCGGCAGCCAGGAGAATAATTTCCCCGAAAGTCTACCTGTATAGTGTTCACAGATCGCTTGCACGTTTGTACTTGTCTACAGAAGAGGTAATAAACTTCGAGGAGAATTGAAAACAATCTTTTGTGTCGGTTTTCCTGTCCACTTACAAGCACCTACGCGAGTGCATTTGTTCTACGTGTTTTCTCCATGTTATAAATACGTTTATGAGTTTCGGGATGTCTTAAATATGTTTAAGATAACCAACCTCCCAGACGATACCCATTTAGGGCTAGCGCATAATTTGCCATTTCGAAGGGCACGTTCAAACGTGTGGTCACGTGCCATGTCGAACGGGTACTCGTACCATACGGCACCCGTATCAAACGGGCACCTGTATCAAACGGGTACCGTTTCGAACGGGTACCGTTTCCAAACGGGTACCCGTATCCCATAATCACGTTTGGTCCAAACGGATCGTCAGGTTTGATTCAAACGGGCGACCAGTTTGCTACCCGTTTGAATTTCAAATGGTTTTTTTCAGTAGGGTTCGATCATCTAATTCATTGTCTGTTAACAAAACTACAAACATATGGTTTTCGTGAACAGGTATGACCTTTAATTGCGTCATATCTTCCACATTGTAAGCACTCAGGCCATTAAAAAAATGACCGCATCTCCACGAGGTGAATGATGATGATTGGGGCGAAGCTTTGGTGGTGCTGATGATACTGATTTTATTGTTCATAGATAGTGCTAATGGTGCTGATTTTTTTATTGCTCATGGGTAGTGCTGAGTTCCGGCTTGCATTTCGACTTCATTATTACTGTTTTATGGTCAATGAAATGCAGAGTTAGTTGTTCTTCTAGCTGATCAGCTTGGATCCTCTAGGAGCCGTGGGAACGCATCTCCACCGCTTAAGTCAACGGTTCATGTCATAAAGAGAATGTGTGGTCTGGAACGTGGTTATATACGGATTTGAGAATTCGACCGCAGCGCCCTCTTGTCTATAAACGTTGAGCCAATGCATGCAAAGCTTAACGCGATTATATACGCATTTGACCGCAGCGCCCTCTCCTGTTTAGACGTTGAGCGGCTACATGCAACGTTTCATCCATGACAGAAACCCCAGCTCTTGAGTTTCTACCACATCTCAGGGCCCCCTACTCGTCCCCCAGTCGTGGCCGAGTGGTTAAGGCGATGGACTAGAAATTCATTGGTGTCTCCCTGCACAGGTTCGAATCCTGTCGACTGCGCAAATATTTCTTTTTTTTTAAGAAGAGAGATGGGATGCCAATCGATGTGAGCATCGACGCCGGACGGACAAGGCTAGACCCTAAGTATCTTCGCCCCTAAAACGAAAATGATAAGCAATAGTAAACAAAACCACGTGTCACAGTTGAAAAGGAAGGGAAGCATCGCACGGGTCTGGACAAAACATGGACAAAGTTCTAATACCCCTGCCAGACGAGCACCTTGATTATCATTTACCCTATAGGCATTCAGGATTTTCAAATGACATTTAAGTCGTGTCGTGTCAGACGGGTAACTCAAATGTCATTTAGGTGATGTCTATCACAATATTGGTCTGTTGTTAACCTATGAATGTAGTGTTTGTATTATTGTTAACCCGGCAGACTAGTGTTTATTTTATTGTTTACTAAGTAAATAAAATGTAATGAACTCTCAAAACATAGAATTCAAACACGGTGATGAAAACTAAGTACACGTTTTGACGGAGACAAGGTGTTTTGTGGCAACTATGAGATGGCGTCAGCAATCCCAAGTAATCTGTAGCCGTACCCCTTCTGGCGCTTGGCTCGTCTGCTTTCGAAACTCCGTGCATCTTGCTCGCCGTTGTTCCTCGCGCTCTTTCGTTCTTCGCCGGATTCGAATACGCCGTTCACGTTTACGTCTGCGATCAATTCAAGCGAAGACCGTGACCCTGTAGCGATGGAGCCTGCTGACGACAATGATCGTACTGCGATGGATCCGGAACGTCGGATCGCGTTCCTGACGTGTATGTACGCACAACAGCAGAGTGCCTTGACGCTGCTGAGGGCCGACATACGATCTGCCAGTGCAGAAAGGTCCGCCTTCAAAAAAGGCTCCTTACCAACGGCCTGATGTTCGCTGCTGTTGAAGCTCCAAGTGTCATTCCGCGAAGCATTCAAGCGTTCAGGAGGAACGAACGCTCGTTCGAGGACACTCTACCCCACATGCCGGTGCACTTCTTCAAGCAGTCCTTCCGCGTCAAGCCGGTTACGTTTAGGTACCTGGTGGACGTCTGTTGGCCCCACATCCCTATAAAAAATTCTCATTTGTATGAGAAATTTCTTTGTCCAATAAACACATATGAGTCACACAAGATATATAAGTACATATAAGAACAGTATAATAGCTATATAAGAACAATATATGATATATAGGAACATACAAGCACCATTAAAGAAACTTGTGAGCAGTTTCTTATAAGTTTCTTATATTGTTCTCATATCTTATATAATTCTCATATAGTTCTTATATGGGTCTTATATGTTCTTATAGATTTTCTATGATTCATATGTATTTATTGGAGACAAGAAATTTCTCATACAAATTACTTTTTTTCACTAGGGATGGAGCGCGAAGTTACCCCCATGCGTTCCACCATTCCAGTGGAGAAGAGGGTTGATGATGCGCTGTACAAGTTGTGCTCGAGCGCAGGAGACCGCATCATCGCCAACCTGTTCGGCCTGGAACGGTCCACCGCAAACGAGAACTACAGGGAGTTCTGCAGGGTTTTTGTCTCTATCCTCGAGCAAGACTGGCTCAATATGGTGAGCGCCGCCGAGCCTCCGGACCACACCCGGGAGTTCCAAGCTGCTCTGGAGTTTCCTCGGGGCATAGGGCGCTGGATGGTTGCCGCTTCCCCATCTCACCACCGAAAGTCAGCGCGAGCGACTACCACAACTACAGGGGCTGGTAGGTAAAATTTACTTCAAGGAGAATGTTTATGATCATCTATGAACTGCTAGAACTGATAACATATACGTTGAACCTCCTGACCCTTTAGAAAGGCGGGCATCTTTTTTCAAACTGATAATTGCAACAAAAAAAAAAGAATTTCTATAATAAATATTGAGTGTGAATTCCTATCAGTAAACAAATTCAATGAAGCTGGCCAAACTGAATGATGCAAACTCGTTACTGCTAGCAAGTGTTCTAAAATGCGTATTTCAGGCATTGAAACATACAGAGGGGCACGCCAAGCAAAGGGCAACGGAGAGAACGCCTAGAAAATTTACGATGATGAGGCAGCCAACTCGTGCCGTCATTGGTCGAGGGGAACAAACCAACGGGGCCACATTTCAGGGGCAAACAAACGCACGAGGTGCACAAAAAGCAGACGAACTTGAACGGCAAATTGTTTCAAACGTTTCGATTTGAATAAAATATTACGAGACCAGACATTTTTCCCTATCAATTTTAATATGGTTATATAAGCCACATGTGTTTGATGACATGGAAGTTATGAAATAGCTATTCCTGAATATGAGATGCCAGTAACTGTGTGATAGCCACACTCTTACACTTTTAATGTTACGTTTAAAAGGTTTGTACATCTCTGTTCTGCGGAGTTTAAACGAATTGTGCTGTGCTGTCTACTTCCCTTTTTAATCTCCAGTTTTTAGGACTGTATGACCGCAGCATAATATATTCAACACCGATGGAGCTGATATATGCCTTGTAATGTTTATATACAGGTACAGCATCATCTTACTGGCCCTCGTAGACCACCGTTACCGGTTCCGGTATGTGAACGTCGGGACACCAGGGCGGTGCCACGACGCACATGTGTACCGGAGGTCGGCTTTGGCGGCTGCTCTGCAAGGACCAACGCTGCAGATGTCTATGGTCACCGTCAACGGGACCACCGTGCCGCCCCTGATCCTGTGTGATCAGGCATTCCCTTTAACGTCCTACATGCTCAAGCCGTACCCACGCAAGGACGTTAAGAAAGGCTCTTCACAGGAAGGCTTCAACCGACAGCTGTCGTCTGCTCTCCTGGTCATGAAGGACGCCTTCGGAAGAGTCAAGGCCCGATTCCGCTTCATTATGAAGAGGGTAGAGTGCGAGGTGGACAATGCCCGGCTTGTTGTGCGAGCCTGCTGCATTTTAAACATTGTGTGCGAACATTTCAAAGACGGTGTCAAGCCCCAGTGGCTCAGCGACGTGGCGACGGAAAACAAAATCATTCTGCAACCGTTGTGCACCAAAGATGCCGAGGCAGACAACGGGCAGAGCGTCAGGGACGCCATTGCGCAGTCTCTACACCAACTTTTGAGGCAAATGGTCTAGATGAAGAGCTCAAGTGGCTGCTCTTGTTTTCAGCGACAGAAAGACCAAGACCACAGACCCTGACAGCTACGAGGGCCCTTTGTAGTGCTTGAAGAACAAAAGGCCCTTTTAAGGTCAAACAAATCTGGCTTTGTAGCGTAACACTTGTTGCCAACCCCCGTGTCCCAAGTGAAGTCTCATGTTTTGGTCAATATGCTTAGCCTTCTGTATGCTTTCATGTGGCTTTTATAGCACTATTTTAATAAATTTTAAGTCATTGACTGCCCAAATATAAGTTCAAGCCTCTCTTGTAGCTACTATGTGCCCTATTGAAAATTCCATCAAGCTACGTAATTTAGGACACTGACTGCCAGTCAGCAGCCTTGGTGGAACGTAATGGACCATCAGACGTCATCTGAGGTCAAATCGAGTTTCCTAACTGGTGGCATATCATAGCGGTTAAGGTGTCCGATTAGTACGCAAGTTGTCGCGGGTTCGATCCCCGGTGGTCTCGCTTTTTTTCTTTTTCTTTTTTTTTCTCGAACATTTTGTTTTATCGAGGCATTTGGCAATATTTATGAGTGCGTATAGCTTTACTCTTATATAAATGCTGCCCTTGTTGATGAAATTCCCTTGGCAGTGGCAGTCAGACGTCATCTGATGCACCATCAGATGACGTCTGACTGCCACTGCCAAGGGAATTTCATTGACTGCCAAACAGGGTTACATTGATGGATTTTTCCTTCGGGCGCAATAAAACGAGGCTTAAAAAACAAAAGATCATCTGAAAGGGTCACTGCTGGAGCAGAAGAAATACCAGCGCCTGTTCGGGGGATTCCTTCAACTCTTGCTTTCCATGAGAGTTGAAAGAAAAAATATTATGGGTGTGCGAATAGTAGAATTTCGGCTTGAATGAAATCGAACATTCCCATATAGTTAGCAAAAAGTCAAGTGTAAAATTCAGTATTGAATACCAAGAAGTCTATTTGGGAGCTCCACATACCAAACCAATGAAGGGCATCTGGCACAACTCAATGAAAAGCTGGGATTAGTGTAGGTCACTTAGGGACCATGAAGCAGTGGCTTAAACGGGGGGGGGGGGGGGGGGGGGGATGGGGGGGGAGTCGGTGAGGTCACTAACTCTCGGGTTCATCAATATAAATACGGTGTTGTATATTTTTTTTAAACAGCGGAGCCAGGTTGGTTTACGGCTTTTTTACGTGCATGTATTTAGCCTAACCATTGTCACTGCTGCTGCTGCCATTTTTGTCTTCTTTCTCCTCACAAGTACGTGCGCGGTTTCTTTTTAGCGTCTTAATAGATGGAAAATGAATGTCCTTCGTGTTCTGAGGAATTGCCTGAAACTGGAGAAGTGCTGAACTGCTCGGAGTGCGATTACTCGTTCCACCTAGGTGCATGTTCCGGGATCAGTGCCAAAGCGTTCAAAACGAAAGATGACAGTTTTAAACAGGCATGGCTATGCTCCGCATGTGCAAAACTCCCAGACGTCCAAAGATCGAAAGCAAAAATCTGAGGTCGACATGGCGAGCCTGCTTGCGAGTATGAACACGAAACTAGACTCGCTCATGACGATAAAAGAGACGGTCGATAATATCGAGAAAACTGTCAAACACCTATCAGACGACTATGATGACCTGCTCAAAAAAGTGAACCGACACGATGGTGAACTAAAAAACATTCAAAAACGTATGGAAACGATCGAAAATCAGAATCGGAAAAGCGAAATAAAAAAACTGAAACGTGAAATGAACGATCTCGAATGGAGAAGCAGAAAATTAAACCTGGAACTTCACGGCTTGTTATCTATAATTTATTTAATACGGGGACTAACCGTACAGATATAATGTGGAGAAAGCTTAATTCGGTACTAAATACACAGCGTTCCACTAACGCCATTGAGAAACTCTACGTGAACAGAATGGAGTTATCTGGTCGAACTCTTGCAAATGCTTTCAACAAGATGAACAGAACAGCGCACACAAAGACAAGGACAGAGAAAAGGAACATGCAGGACACACAAGCGCTGACTCGCAACTGAATTTATACACAAAAGAAAGAAGAAGAAAACCTTCTGAAAGACACACAGGGCACGCAGTGCTTGTGACACGCGACACAACACCATCTAACTGCAATGTCTTTGCCCCATAGTCCGATCTAAAAACAAGGTTTCAGTGTTTAGTAGTGTCATTGATGAGTGGCTGACGCAGCAGTCCCCCAGGCTGTTGATGCAATGTGCTTCCAAGATTTCGCGAGTCGTCTTGTCTCGATAGTGTCCAATTATTGTTGTGCCTTTTAGAATCGGAGCACACGAGCAGGAATTGCAGTGAACGGGAAGATGACCACCCACCGTAGATTTTAGTGAACGATCATGCTCGAGAAGGCGATCGCTTAGGCACCGTCCAGTTTGGCCCACATAGCTTCTACCACACGTTAGTGGGATTTTGTACACCGCGCCAATTGAACACGGCACATAAGGGTGGCTGTGGCGTTTCTGGCACTTGTCTTTGTTGAGGTTATCCGCTATCGAGCGAACCTTTGAGCAGATTTCGCCATTCTTTTAGGAGCCGAAAACACCACAGGCACATCGTACCTTTGGGCTGCTCTTTTTAAATTATGAGAGGTTTTGTGCATGTATGGTACAGCAACCTTTTGTTTCTGTGGATCTCGAGGTTTCTTTCGCTGAATCCCTTTAGTCTTACGTACTAAGACCGCCACCACCTCGTTTAAAGGGACACTGACAGGGTATTTATGCTCGCCGAGGTTTTTAGTTGTACGTGACATATGAGAGCTCAACTACCCAGAACAGAGTTTGCGGCTCGAAATTCGGTTTCTTTCCGCCCGAAAACCGCCGATCAAGAACTGGCCGGTTCGAGTCTTGCTCACTCTCTTTTCCGCGGTCACGGGCCGTTTTCTAAGGTATCGATGCGACCACCAAATTTAATCAAAGTCGTGGGTCACTGAAGGCAGACACTCAACATTAAAAATAGAAAAAAATATGAAACCCATTTTTTGTGGCTTCTAAAAAGCTGTAAATACGTTGATTGAAAAAAAAAGTTCCACACACAACCGGAAGCATTCTGTGCGTTCATCGTTTCGCGTATCGTGGGACTCGCGGGGACGGCGATGGTAGCGGACGACGGGCGTGGGACCTCTATTTCAAAACTGTCGTTCGCGGTACCGGCGAATTCTGTCTACCGTTAAAAGAGAAATTTGGGACTGATCAAAAGAATTAGTATTCATCCCGTACGACACGCCCGGTTACCAAGCCGATTTGCACGAAGACGTCACCGAGCCGTCGCTCCCTTCTCGTGGCTGAAGACATCGCTCGCGCAAACGTCAAGCACGACGTGTCTACTTCGAGTTGAATTTGCACGCGTACGATGTCTTTACTAGGTGCGAATGTCCCCAAAGCGTGGTGCTTCCCGACTTCGACCCGGGAGTGCTTTTGCTAGAGAAAAATCGACAGCAAACTTTCCAACTTACCGGCTGAATTATTACTAAGGAAAGAGATCCACAAGAACACAGATGCCCTAGTAGCTCATTCTTCTTCCGGCAGCGTAGGCGATCGGTTGGTGAATCATGAGCTCCGTCGGAGCGGTGATAGCGGCCCAGCCGGGCCGCGGTGACAGGCATGACGCTTCTACTTCGGACTATCAGATTATACTGCCTCCCCTGCCTACTGGAGCTGCGGTGTTGAACAACGTGTTTCTGCACGCTGACATCCGCGGGCGCCCGTACCGCGTCGAGGACTTCCGCGACGCCCTGGGCCACCTGGAACTGCTCCCCGGGGTTCTCGCCTTGGGGGCGTTCCAGATGAATCACGTCTGGGCCGTGACTTTCAAGTCACCGGAGGGTAAGCGGAAGACCCTTGCAGCGGGTGACCTCGTCGTCAAGGGCCGACGATGCATCGTTGTCGACCCGGGCAACCGCGACATCCGCGTCAAGCTCCACTGGCTCCTGTATCACGTCCCCGACGACGAGGTGAAAGCCGCACTGGCCCCTTACGGCACGGTGACCGAAATGGGAACCGAGAAGTGGCGGGTGCAGGGAGTCATGGACTGCGGGTCAATGACGCGCACGGCTGTCATCCGGCTTAACCCTGGGCTCGGGTTGGACAAACTGCCGCATCAGCTGCGTATTGCCGGAGGGCAGGTGCTCGTCGAGGCGCCGGGCAGGGCACCACTCTGCCTGCGCTGCGAGCGGACCGGCCATATCCGCCGCGATTGCCGAGTGCCGAAGTGCCAGTCCTGCCATCGGATTGGTCACGACGCCGCCCACTGCGTCAAGACCTACGCTGCGGCAACGGGCCCCGGAGCTGGTCAGGCCAACGCTGACCACCTCATGGACGAGGCGGATGCGGAGGAGACAATCAAGGGAGCTGGTCCTTCCACCGGGACGCCTGTGAGCGGAACCTCCCAGCAAGGCAGACCGGCGGAATGCTTTACCTCGGCAACTTAATCTGACACGCTGCTTCTGATTTTGTAGGGCGACATCGTTGGTACTTGGGAGCAAGCCGTGCTGTACGGGTTTTCGGCTGGAACATTTCGGCCAGTGCATCGCTGCCGTGTCATCCTGTCGTCGTCGCGTCCGGCCAGTGCATCGCTACCGTGTCATTTTGTCGTCGCTGCACGCGCTCAGTACTACTACTACGTGTGAGTGATTGATAGGCTTGTTATCAGTCGACCAAAGGACTGGCAGTGCCATGAAGCGTCCAGTACAGCGCTCTACAAAAGCGTGGGAGGCGGAGCGATTCATCGCAGACCGGCGGAATGCTTTACTTCGGCAACTTAATCTGACACGCTGCTTCTGATTTTGTAGGTAAGCACTGTTTTCGCTGGCTCTTCACCGCGTTTTTGACCGCTCGCCTTCCGCTGGTCTGCTGCCGTGTTGCTTTGTGTTGCTTCCTCGTTTAGTATCTTTTTTTTTCAAAATGAGTGACTGAATCTCATGTCAGAAACCGGTGGCATCTGAAAGTTCTTCCATTACATACTCAGAGTGTGAGCACTGTTATCACGTTGGGAAGTGCTCTGGAGTTACAAAAACGTTACTTAAGTCAATGCCACAGGAGAGTCTCGATCACTAGGTATGCAACACTTGCAAATTGCACGCTCGACGTTCGTCTACTTCTTCGCTAGAATCTCAGTCTGCACGGGAGGGTAATCTGACCTCGTACGTCCAGACAGCTAAATCGTCGGTGCCTCCAGCTGCAATTGCGGTTAGCCAAAACCAAACACAAAGCACCGAACTGAATGTGGCAAACATGCTGGTGGCTATGAATGCAAAGCTGGACACGCTCCTAAATTTGAAGGCAACGGTGGATGGTATGGAACACTCCCTTCAGCATATGCCGGAGAATTATGACGATGTGTTGAAACGTGTGGGTGAGCAGCACGAGGAAATAAAAGACTTGAAGAAAAGGGTCACAAACTTGGAGAAATCAGGGGCCGGAGCAGAAATTGATCAACTAAAGCAGAAAGTTCACGACCTGGAACGGAGGAACCGCAAACAAAACTTAGAAATACACGGGATCCCCTCAAATGCAAATGAAGACCTCATGGCCAAACTAAATGAGCTGGCAGGGCAACTTGATGTTCCCGACTTGACCTTAGATCAAGTTGTTGTAGCACACAGACTTGCTTCACGTCCAGATAAAACACCCGGGATCATTGTTCGATTTGCTAGCCAGGCAACGCGAGACCTGTGGCTAGATAAGCGGGCAAACCTGAAACGTGCTCGAAGCAAGGTTTATGCGGAGGGCAAGTTCGTCTGCTCCTTGCGCAGGGGGTAGCGGTGACGTCAGAACGCCGAGCCCTGATTGGCTGATCGAGCCCCCCTATCTGAGCGTCGTCTGCTTCTTTGCAACGTCGTCTGCTCGCAACGTCGTCTGCGTCTGTCTTACGTTTCCTGCGACTTTCGGGAGTGCGATCTTACGCCGAAAATGTGCGTAAGACAAAACTTAAGAACAAATTCGTATTCACGAAACGAAATTTTCGTAAGTTTTGCGCAGGTTACGGCGAAATCCTACGACAGCTCTGAAGCTGTCTTACGCACTTCTTACGATCAAGTCAGCATGGCCGACAGCGTCGCGGTCGCGACGACCCACGGACGTTTATTTTTCTACGTGAGCTTCTCACGCGTCCTGACTTCAAGCAGCAAAAAAAAAGTAAAAATTACTTGAAACAGAGCACGACGAACAAGAACGCTGGATCCACAGACACCGGGGAAAAGCTCCAACGGCGACGATTCCACCGAACGCGACCAAACGAGCTGGGCAGTTAGGCCTAGCAGGCACTCCGCGACTCGGCGACCCACGCCCGGCTGACGTGCTGAATGGAATATGCCCGCGCGACCCTTGTGAACCCTTCCCGTGTTATACTTTGATCGCCGACCTCGATTTTAGATTAAGAGGTCAATTTCTTCCTCTTGTTATCTCCTTGTTTCCCGAGGCAACGGTGACTCTCGCCGGTGAAAAAGCGGCGAATCTCCGACAGACGCAGGAAAGGTAAAGCAGCCATCGCTTTGACTAGCAGACGTAAAGCAGACGACGTTAACTGCGCCAACCCGCCGGCGCCGTTAAAGAGTGAGGGGTCTCGCCGCACACGAATGGAGGTAAAAAGTATTTGGGGGGGAACTTGCGGACACTAAGCAAACAAACCTCGGCGCCCCGGGACACCTCGCCAGTGAGTCCTTTGACTTCCCTGCTTGATGCGCGTCTGCTAGTTATTAGACGAAAACAACGTACCGCTCGAGTTATTTCGTCTGCCCTCCCTTAAAGGCCAAGTCGAGTTCGCTCCGAAAGTCGCAGGAAAGGTAAGACAGACGCAGACGATGTTGCGAGCAGACGACGTTGCAAAGGAGCAGACGACGCTCAATAGGGGGTCGCGATCAGCCAATCAGGACTCGGCGTTCTGACGTCACCGCTACTTCCTTTCTCATGCGCAGAAGACGAAAATGAGCCCACTTGCGAGGCGTATATCTCGGAAAACCTGACACAGCAAGAAAAATCGCTTCTCTGGGAAACGAAAGAATGGGCAAAGGCGAAGAGGTATCAGTTTGTCTGGTATAGGAATGGAAAGGTGTTCGTAAGGGAGAAGGATGGGGCTCGGTCGTATCTAATAGCAACGAAGGATGACTTGTCAAAACTAGACTAATTTCGTTGCTCTTTCAGTTGGTTACTCTAAATTTGTTTTTTTTTTTGTTTCTAAACATGAATGACAAGCCATATTTATCGTCACCTGAGGTTGGGCTTATTTTTAAACATAAACATAATGTACCGTTTAGTCTGTTTCACCTTAATGTACAATCGGTAAAAAATAAAATCGAGGAACTAGACATCTTTTTGGGGAGTTTTGATTTTATGTACGATGTAATTATGTTGACCGAAACATGGTATAGGTCAAGGAATGAAGTTGACGCGTTAGAAAATTATGAACATTTCAATTTATGTCGTGATGTTAAACAAGGTGGCGGTGTATGCATGTACGTAAAAAAATGTTTTGAGTGTGTCATGATTGATGAGTTTACGATTATCACAAATGACTACGAGATGCTGACGTTACAACACCATAAATCTGTATTTTGTGTTGTTTATCGGCCGCCAAGTGGAAATATTACTGCTTTTCTTGAATATATTGATTTGTTTTTGAGGTTTATTTGTGAAAATGAGTATATGGTTTTCTGTGGTGGCGATTTCAACATAGATATGCTTACGTCTTCACCACGTCAACTAGAGTTCCTTTCTTTATTTCAATCTTACGGTTTGCTTAATGTTATTGTTCAGCCTACTCGTATTACACCTAATCACGAAACATTGCTCGATCTTTTCTTAACAAATGTGTGCGAGTCCGATGTAATCTCGGGAGTAGTGGGAGAAACCATTAGTGACCATCTGCCAATTTTTATGCTTGCTGACATAGGCTTTAAGAGAAAAGAAATTAGTTCACAAGATGTCTATTTTAGAAATGTAAGCGCAAAAACCTCGTAAAATTTGAACAACAAGTGAACTCTGAGGACTGGGGAGTGGTTCTATCTTGCGTGTCGGCAAATGAAGCCTTCAACTTTTTTTTAGAAAAATTTAGTATAATATATGATCGTTGCTTTCCATATCAATTGCATAAAGTTCACAAAAAATCCCGTAAACCTTGGGTTACGTCTCGGGTATTAAACATGATAAAAAAAGAAAAATGTTCTTTATCATAAATTTGTACTTAGCAAAGATGTTGCCATTTTGTCTGCCTTCCGAAAACAACGGAACGCGGTAACTAAAGCCCTAAGACAAGCTAAACAAGCATACTTCAACAATTTGTTTAATGGGGATATGCGGTCCGATGTGGTTTGGAAAAAGTTGAATAGTTTAATGAAAAATGGATTGCATATAGATAAGATAACAACACTTAAAATTGATGGTATTGATATAAGTGGTGTGGCTTTAGCAGAAAAATTTAATGAATATTTTGTTGAACTTCTTCATAGTACACATAGTGAGCATGCTTCCAAATATATGATCAGCGTGCATGACAGTTTGTTTCTTCATCCAACTGATGAAGATGAAGTATACTCAGTTTTCAAGACTTAAAAAATAGCAGGAGCAGTGATTTTTATCAGCTTCAAATTAAACCTATTAAGCATGTACTACGGTCTATTGTTCCGTGTTTGACACATATTTTTAACCTAGCGTTGCAAACAGGGGTTTTTCCTAAGAAAATGCAGGTGGCAAAAGTTTCAGTTTTACATAAAGCTGGAGATAAAAATAACTTAGGAAATTACAGGCCTATTTCCGTATTACCAATATTTTCGAAAGGTCTAGAAAAAACTTTACATAAACGATTATACTGTTTTTGTGACAAATTTTCAATCCTGACGCCCTGTCAGTTCGGGTTCAGAAAAGGTCGCTCCACTGAACTCGCGCTGTTAAAGCAAAAAGAATTAATTTTAAACAATATTGAAAATAAACTGGTTACACTCGGAGTGTTTATAGATTTTTCGAAAGCATTCGATTGCCTAAATCACGTAACGTTAATTCAAAAGTTATACATGTTAGGTGCTCGCGGTGTCGCTCTTGAAATGATTAAAAGTTACTTTGAAAACCGCTATCAATGTGTAGAAATCAGTAAAAATAGATCAGATCTCAGGAAATTAACAGCAGGCGTGCCTCAAGGCAGTATACTCGGGCCACTTCTTTTTGATTTATATATCAATGATATAGTACGTATTGATGATACAGTTAGTTACATCATATATGCAGATGACACCTCTCTCTTTTTCTCAGGGAACGACGCTGACCAAATTATTCAAAAGGCAAATCGATATCTTGAAAAGCTAAATGCTTGGACGATATTAAATTCCTTAGAAATAAATGTAAATAAAACTAAAGCCATTCTATTCAGGTCACGTAATACAATATGTACCTTCACGACTACCCTTTCACTTGGTGGAAATGAAATAGATATAGTAGAAAATGTAAAAGTACTAGGAATAATATTTAACGAATACCTCTGTTGGGACGAAACTGTGCAACAGATAAGTAATAAGCTATCGAAAGTTGTTGGGGTTATATATAAATACCGAAATATGATTCCCACCCCTGTTATGCTACTTATATACAAGTCTCTTTTTTACACATACTACAACTATTGCTTTCTAGTATGGGGTAATACGACTGCTAGAAATCTTAAAATAATACATACTCTTCAAAAAAAAGCAATTCGAGGTTTATGTCATGCAGCATACGATAGTCATACCGAGCCATTATTTCATAAATTTAATATAGTGCAAATTCCAAATCACTATAGTTATAAACTTGCACTTTCCTACAAAAGGTCTTTTAGACAGAGCGAAAATATGTATCTATCAATTTCCCAACTTGCACTTAGACAAGCAAATTATCCAACTCGTAATGCTGAGATATGGATAGTGCCACAATCAAGAACAAACTATGGGGATCAGATGATAAAATGTACCCTCCCCCGTCTTCTTAATCGTTTTTATGAACTTGATATAGATATTTTCAGTATGTCCGACAAACAAATATGTTCACTTTTTGTCTAATGGTTACTCCCATGTAAGAAAAAAAAAGTTCAGTA